TAATGCATGTTTTGTTTAAAGAGGGCTTTTAAAATAATTGAGTTAAAGTTAATTTTAAACACATGTAAATATTTTTACTTTTATATGCTCAATACAGGTTTAAATAAAAGTTCTCCACTTTCCTGACCAAACAAAAAGATATTAAGTAATAAGTAACTGAAAACTGTGTACATGCACATGTGGATGTATAAAGTTTTTAACTACAAATCATCCTCTTGGCAGCTGTAAAGTCAGTTTACTTTTCACTATTTAATCCACTACAACTTGTTTAAACTTAACATTTCTGTTCCCTGTTTTACATCATTTTTAATTTTTGTGTCCTTTTTTGGAAATATATATATGCCATTAGTCAGGGGCAATTTTCTTCAGTCTTTATTATGCCCAAATGGCTTTTATCTAATTTGTATTACAATTCATCAAGATTTATATTTGCTAGTGTTTATTGTTTTAACTGTATATAATTCACTTGATTGTAGATGGTTTTCCATGCAAGCCTGTAAATAGGAACATTGTACTCCTTATAGTATGAATAGTATACATACTATATATACATACTAATGTAGAGACTATGTATTTTGAATTGTGTATATCTTTTTTTGACACAGTTTCATCATTAAGTCCTATTTACTGTTAAGCTTAATAATCTTATAATATTGTCTATAAGGGCCTTTTCTTATGAATAAGGTAAACATGTGTTGCAGTCTTCTTAAGGAACTTATTCTTTATAGTAATTGATCAACATAACTTCAGTTGAGTTACTGGGATTCTTTTCTGGACCTATAATCTATACCAATGTTTTAAACATTAAACTTAAAACTCAGGGGGACAAAGGTTCTTCAACTTAAGATCTTCTCTCCAGATCTCCATTCTTTGGAGTTTCCATGAGTGTGACCTGAAGAACTTGGAACCATTGAAATTCAAATGTAGGTAGGTAAGTGTTCACACCAGCGCATGCGTTGATTGCCTTATATCTCTTTGTATATGCATCTGTATTGCACCCCCTCAGTGCCTTTCTTCCTCTTCCTCCCCATAGATCATGTAGGGCCTGTGTCATCTTGATACTTTGTAATTCTGTATTTTGGTCAGTATTTGTCTGTGATGTGTGTCAGGAGCAATCTTTAAAAGTCTTCAGACATTTATGACATTGTGTTGTCTAAAGACTGTCTTTCACACATAAGTGTTTGCTGTGTACAGGCCTGGGTTGCATTTTGTGAATTGTGTTTGTTGAGCTCTGATAAACATTCCCCTGGAGTTGCTGGTATTCACTGAAGGATGCAAAAATTCTCAGTCCTGCACTGTTTCACTTTTTCAGTTCTAGAGAATGTGAACTATATCTGGTTCTAAGAATGTTTTCCAGTTAGTCTCTGATTTAAAAGTCATACTCCTGATACCATCCATAATGAGTGTCACCTACCATCCTTTGAAATCCACTCACAAGCTTTCTTTGGGCAATAAGAAAAAGTGATTAAACTTAATCATTTGTTTCCAGCAATAAGAATTAATACCAATTTATTCCAGACAAACAGGACCCCTACTTAATCCTACCCCTCCAAAAAGAAAAACCTATTGATAACATACTAAGTTGTAACTGAAATAGGCAAACAGACCCAACCATGGAATATTCTCCTAGGCTTAAGTAGAGTTTCTACTCAAATAAGCAAAATAAAATAAATGTTCAGGCGCTTAATGTAATTTTGCTCAAAATATCCAAACACCAAAATCTAGGATTCCTACCATGCTTTTAATTTTTATTTCTTTTCCTGTTACTTCATCTGCCAAGCACATCATTGAATTTCAGAATATCTATTCCATGTTCTGTTTTGTTTTGTTTTCCATCTCCTATAAAAGTTAGGTAATCCTTTGGCAGTGGTTTTTAAACTTTTGGTCTCAGGACTCTCTTAGAAGAAGACCCTATAGAATTTTTGTTTATAAATATGGGCTATCACTATCAATATTTACCATATTAGAAATTAAAATGGAGACAATTTAAATTATTTAATATCGCATTTAAAATAATAACTCACATTACCATGTATTTTTATGAAAAATAACTTTTCAAAATTAAAAATATTGCTGGGGCACCTGACTAGCTCAGTCTGTAGAGCATGTGACTCTTGATCTCAGAGTTGTGAGTTCAAGCCTCATGTTGGTGTGGAGCCTACTTAAAAAAAAAAAATTGCATAGAAGAATAGCATTTATTTTACTGTGAATGTGTGATGGGGCAGAATATGATGACCACCAACAGAATTTGGTGCCACTGACTAGATTGATAATAAAACCCCAGCAGTTTTACCCACCACTGTTTCTGCACCATTGTATAAATATCAGTACAGTACAAAAGGCATATAAAATCTTGGTATTTTTATGAATGTAGTTTTGGTTTTATGATCCTCTGAAAGGGTTTTGGGGACCCCATTTTGAGAACCATGTTCTAGGATGCCTGCTTATCTTGAAATGAAAATTTGTATCAGTCTGTTTGAGTAAAGTTTTTTTCCTCATCTGGGCCTTCATTATCCAAGGAGAATTACTTACCTGCAATTGATATGAACAGACTTTAGAGTTATCCGAGTGTAATTTTTGTTTTAGTTAGCCTCATAGAGATGGATATAAAAGAAGGCACCCAAGTGATCAAAAATGAGTATGTCCATTGGATGACTATATAATTTTTCTCTTTACTTGTGTGTGGTATGTGTGTTGTATGTGAGTATACAATTAATTTTGCTCCTGGGTAGCATTAAAACACATTTTCCCAAAGGAAAGTGATTTTCATGAATTAGGGTGATTCACACCAAATGCCATTGGGCTATACTTCTTTTTTCTCCTGATTTACCACAATTTCAGATATTACTGCTTCAATTTGTATGCCAAAGATTTTTTGAAACTATGCAACGTTTCCTATTTTTTTTGTCCCTCATTTCCCTGGAACCAAAATTCATAATACCTTAAAAGCAGTCCAAGGAAGTGGTAGAGATGCCAAGTTAGGAGAATATGAAGAACATCATCTTCTAAGTGGTATTCTCCTGTTGAGTTCTCTCCTTCATAAAATTTGTTATTCCTCTGATGTCCCTGGACTGTTGGATTTTTATAGTGTGTGCCAACAGTACTGAGGGGGTGTGTGTGATGCTTACATATATGCAGACATATAGTGGAGTTTGACTCACACTCAATGCATGCGCTAGTGCTCACGCTTACATACCTGAAACTTAATGATTCAACAGCTCTGCAGTATTTGAAGAGGTAGTCAAAATGAGTAAATAAATGAAATTTAAAAATACTGCTAAAGAACAAAGATCTGCAAAGGTGATCCAATAATAAGGAACTTTACTGGTAAGTAATCAAAATAATTTCTGACTTGGAAAGCTTATTGGTGCATGATCGTTACAAATACTATAACTATTCTGCCGATAAAACACTTAACACTATACCTTTTAATATAAGTAATTTGCTTATAAGATAATACAGATACTGTGAATCATTCATCAATTGATGAATTGTATAGTAAAAATTTAACATTAAAGGCATAAGAACAAATCATTTAGTTGAATATATTCTTTTATTTATGTCTCTTTGGAACAGATTTCATAATTCCATTGCAAAATTTGAAATTGTTTTAGACTCTTTGAACTCTAAATGTAAACTTCCCTTTTTCCCAGGCCTATATTCTTGTTTTGGTTATAGGCCCCCCACAATTGAACCAGATAATATGCGTAATTACCCACTCATCAGTTTTCAGGGTGATAAGCCTCGGTTGGCTATCCCTTGATACTTTATTCTAAAAGCAGGAAAAATTGACTACAAAGACTGCAAGGCATATAATCAACTGGAATGTGAGGCAGCTCAACCCGCCTTCTTGTTCTTATCTGATAATCACCCAACCACCTCCTTATCAATTGATTAAGAACAGAAAGAGTGATGAAGAGATTAGTAAGCAAACTGTCAAAGGATGCATGCTCTAGGGAAAATGTGTTTGTAATAAATGGAATTTTTATCTTTAGATTCCCAGTAGATAACTTTAAAAAGAATATGGAGAAAATTATTAGCTTGAAAATGTCATATAATTTTCAAAAGAAACAGAATTTTGAAAGTATTCCTGTATCTTTGGATGAAACAGTTATTAATAGTGATAGTGTTTTACATAGGCATGTGAGTGTTTTATATCTTTCTTAGCGTTTTGTAAGAGGCAGTACTTTTGGTTTTCATTTGGTCTATTTACCTTCAGCTTTGCTACAGGTATTCTGTCATAATTTGTTCATGAAGAGCCATTGTGGAAATCCAAGGCCTGTTAAATACTTTAAAACTAATTAGTTTCTTAGAAAATGAAGGCAAGCCTTGATGACAAAGCATATTGATCTCATTCTCTTTACTTCTCAAGCCAAATTTTCTTTACTAAGATGCTTGTCACTTATTAAAATTTTGAAAAGAAAAATATTTTAAGCAACACATTTTTTCCTTGTAAAAACTACTTTCCTTCCTAGCAGTCATCGGAGAACATTCTGCTACAAATAATCAAAACGATTTTTGCGTATTATATATATTTTTCATTCTTTATTATGAAGCAGCTGTTTTTAAGGGATTCTAAGATTCTGTCTTCTCTTGGTCTTTATTAAATTTGTTTTTCTATGCTTTTGTATACTCTGCTTTCCTATAATACAAATATTACTTTGTCTAACTTTTTCACATAACTAGCAGTGGTAATGTTTAATTATTTATACATTTTTAAAGCCTACTCTACAAAGGTATACGACCCTGTTTAAAAAAAAAAAAAACAAAACTAATGTTTTGACATGTTGAGTTCATTCCTAAATTTCTTTTAGTCGTTGAAAAGATTCAAAACTCTTGTGAACTAATGTTTTAAGATTTTTCAGACAATTGTATGGATGGACTTAATCTTATTTACTGTAATTGAAATAGTATTGAGTTTGCAATAGGGAGAATAAGAGGTGCTTTCTTACTAATGTTCATTTGATACATAAACACTTTTGTTTGTTTGTCTTTTACAGATTCCCTTCAAGCTCAGCTTATCAATATGGGTGTTATACCTACCTTAGTGAAATTATTGGGCATCCATTGCCAAAATGCAGCTCTTACAGAAATGTGTCTTGTTGCATTTGGCAACTTAGCAGAACTTGGTAAGTCCTAGTCATGAACCACAAATGTAATTAACTTATTAATGTACTTACAATAACTTTTCCTATAGATGTTAACAACCTGGAGAATCCATGTAGATTATATTATTTTTTTGAAGCATTGTAGATACTTCAATGTTTAAAAAAAGTAGGTCCAATTATATCTTATGATTATATTGTTTATAATTGGAGCTCCTTTGCTTCCCTCATTGTTTTATCAACGTTTAAAGTTTCCACTTGTATATTATTTAATAGAGGTGAATATTTAAAATGATCTCCACTTGACTTTAGTATTCTTAAAAGAGAGATGGTCTTGAAATCAAATATTGTATTTCCAGGACAAAAATAAAGGATTATTAATTTATTACATTTTATATAAATTGTTTATCGGTTAAAAAGGAACCTAACAGACTAAAGTTTTTCCACCTTTTTAGAAAATCCCTAAAAATGATAGAGGACTGGGGCTCCTGGGTGACTCAGTCGTTAAACGTCTGCCTTTGGCTCAAGTCGTGATCCCAGGGTCCTGGGATCCAGCCCCGCATCGGGCTCCCTGCTCGGCGGGAAGCGTGCTACTCCCTCTCCCACTCCCCCTGCTTGTGTTCCCTCTCTCGCTGTGTCTCTCTCTGTCAAATAAATAAAATCTTTAAAGAAAAATGATAGAGGACTTTTTCATAATAATATATTCATAACAGCATTAGAAAAAATTAGGAGAAACCCTTGAAAATCAGAAGGCAGACAGAAACAGACCAATACTAGAAACACAGCCCAGTCATAACAGAGAAGAGGACTGATGACTCCAGCACCCCTGTGTCTTTTCTCTGTTTTATTTTTCTCTATATCCTTAATAGTACTCTCTTCTTTCTGACCTTCCTTCCTGTGATTCTTTATAAAGTTACAACTCGGTCTGAATCTATCCCACGACCATGTTCATAATAATTTTGTATTATGGGGACAGTGAAGCCAAAGGATGTTTTGTCATAACTAAATATAATAGCTAAAACAAACAAATTAATTCTATTAATTATACCCATTTTATAAATAAACAGAAGCACCAGGACTCTAACCTTGGATTTTCTGAGAGCTCATGTTCTTACATACTACACATTAAAATCTTGATCTCAGGGCGCCTGGGTGGCTCAGATGGTTAAGCGTCTGCCTTCGGCTCAGGTCATGATCCCAGGGTCCTGGGATCGAGGCCCACATCGGGCTCCCTGCTCCTTGGGAGCCTGATTCCCCCTCTGCCTCTCTCTCTCTCTCTGTCTCTCTCTCTCTCTCTGTCTCTCTCTGTCTCTCATGAATAAATAAATAAAATCTTTTAAAAAAAATTAAAAATAAATAAAATCTTGATCTCAGTACTTTCTTTAGCTTAGACTTTAAATGCTTCAAATTTAAATGAATAGAGATTACTTATCAGAGCTAATTTTTAAATCTTTTTTTAATTAAAAAACAGCAACATGAGCTAATTTTTAAAAGTCAGTTTTGTTTTTTTTTTTAAAGAACAGCAACATGTTTAGATTGAATTTGTTTTCATGAGACTGGAACTTTGGTTTTTTTTGTTGTTGTTTTTTAGTACAGTTGATGCACAGTGTTAAAAGTCATTCTTATTCAGTGGGTCATCTCCTGGTATTTATGAATGTCTTTGTTTTCTATCCTCTTCTGCTTTTCTTTTTTTCATACTATCTTATTTTCATAAATTCACGTAAGACCAAGAATGAAAGAACATTCATTCATTGTTTTACAAGATACTGTTTTCCATTATTAAAATGGACTGTAGGAATTTGTGACTGGTGTACTTTGTAGAAATAAAACAGAAATCGTGCTATAATCCCTGATAATGTCCTAATCTTGGTAACAGAAACATAAACACCATTAAATGTGAGTTGCTTCTGTTAAGGCATCAGGATTTTTTTGGGAGAGTGCATAGACCACCTCAATTCAGCCTCCTCTCCCTAGTCTGTATTAAAGGATGGATATACACCCAATTAGTCCAATTTCATAGTCTATTTCTAGCTGTTCCTGCCTTTATCCCAGTTGGGGGATGAAAGGATAAAAGAGAACTATTCCTTTACATCCTAAGACTCCTAGAGTTTGTATCATGAGTCGGTTATGTCCATGTAGTAGCTAGGTTATACAGCAACACTGAAATTGAATATATATGCTCCAGAATACTTTTCCTCTTTCCAGTGTGTGTTTTATTGCAATAAGTTAAGAAATCCACAAAGCATTATTATTATTGACATAGGTAAATACCAAGTTCCCGTCACATTTATATTACATACCTATGCATATGGCATATCACTATATGCTAGAGTTACCTTTAGTCAAGTTTATTAATAAAAATGTTAAACAGCAGAAATTTTTGTGGTTTTTCTCACAAAAGATAGATGATAAAGACAAAATATAAAATAATTTAAGTGCAGGGGCGCCTGGGTGGCTCAGTCGTTAAGCGTCTGCCTTCGGCTCAGGTCATGATCCCAGGGTCCTGGGATCGAGCCCCGCATCGGGCTCCCTGCTCCGCAGGAGGCCTGCTTCTCCCTCTCCCACTCCCCCTGCTTGTGTTCCCTCTCTCGCTGTGTCTCTCTCTGTCAAATAAATAAATAAAATCTTGAAAAAAATAAAAAATAAATAATTTAAGTGCAATCTACAGAATTGGGGACAAACAGGAAAATGCACCTGTGCCTTTTTGTTCTCTTTGAGTCCTAGTTTATAGGACTTCCTTTTTATTTGGCTCCAAAATCTTTTATAAAGAAAATTTTCTGTTTAAATATTAGGATTTAGGGAGTAGAGGTGTTAGAATAAAGAATTGTACTTAGTTTCACTTCTTTCTGGAAACTAAAACTACAGTAAAGGGATACTTTTTTAAAGGTTTAAATCCACAAGGAAAGGGGAAAAGAAAAAAGGGAGAGGAGATGACACAAAAATATTTTAGGACCTGGGAAGAAAGACAAGCAGTAACTAATTTAGCAAAACTTTGATGTGTAAATCCTGGATTAGAAAGCCAAGAAGTAACCAGTTTGCTTTTTGGAATCTTCAGTCAGAATTTGGTGGTATTAAAATCTCATTCCCTTTCCATACTTCTCTTTTATTTTATTTCATTTTATTTCAATTTATTTTATCCAAAATATGTTTATTGAGAGTTTCCCACTCATCTGATTCAGGGTGATTTTAGTGCTGCTTCCATCTGAAGGAGCATCTTTCTGTAAGCCTTGCTTTTCCTCCTGTGGGCTGGCAGAGGACAGGGGAGCAGCCAACACACAGAACTAGCCTTTTTGTGTGGCTAAAAACTGGTGATGTTGTAGCATCCTGGGAGCTTCCCGTCCATGAAGTAGGCGTTGAGGCGCTGCACCACGCACTTCTTGTGCTTCCCCTTGTCCTCTTCTGGGGTGGGTGGAAGTGGTCCTTCGTAAGGGGCATGTTCTCGTGGGGAGGTCATTACTACCAGGAAGCCCCTTCCCCCACTTTATAGTGACTACCCCTTCCCATGTAAGCCAAAGACTGTATTTCGTCTCTAGAAAGGCTGAAAACAGAAAACTTGTAGTCTGGACACATCAGACTAACTTGAAGTAACAGGGACCAGAGTACCATTCCAAAAATAGTTTAAGTGAAAGTAGATACACTGATGCTGAGAACCCCAGTGTTATTATCCCATTTGTCCTGTAGAACATGAAGATACTTAGACACAGAGGCCATCTGACCGCTTATGTTCATAGCTCCTGCTCAGTTTTTAAATCCCAATTTTTTTCATTTTATTTATTTTTTTAATCATGATGAGTATACTCTTTAATCCTCCTCCCCTACTTCCCCCCCCCCCCCACCCCCCCCCCCCCTCCTACCCCATCAACTTGTTCTCTGTAGTCAAGGGTCTGTTTCTTGGTTGTCTCTCTTTTTTCTTTTTTTCCCCTGCTCGTTTGTTTTGTTTCTTAAATTCCACATACGAGTGAGATCATGTGGTATTTGTCTTTTTCTGACTTATTTTGCTTTAGCATTATACACTAGCTCCATCCATGTTGTTGCAAATGGCAAGATTTCATTCTCTTTTTATGGCTGAGTAATATTCCATTGTAAATACATACCACTTCTTCTTTATCCATTCATCTATTGATGGACATTTAGGCTGCTTCCTTTGTTTGGCTATTGTAAATAAGGCTGCAGTAAACATAAAGGTGAATGTGTCCTTTTGAATTAGTGTTTTTGTATTTTTTGGGTAAATACCCAGTAGTGTGATTCCTGGATTGTAGGGTATTTCTATGTTTAATTTCTTGAGGAAACTCCATACCTTTTTTCACAATGGCTGCACCAATTTGCATTCCCACAAATAATGCAAGAGGGTTCCCCTTTCTCTGCAGCCTCACCAACACTTGTTTCTTGTATTTTCGATTTTAGGCTTTCTGATAGGTGTGAGGCAATATCTTATTGTAGTTTTGATTTGCATTTCTCTGATGATGAGCGATGTTGAGCATCTTATGTGTCTGTTGACCATCTGAATGTCTTTTTTGGAGAAATATGTATTTGTGTCTTCTGCAATTTTTAATTGGATTATTTGTTTTTTGGGTATTAAGTTGTATCAGTTCTTTATATATTTTGGATACTAACGCTTTATGGGATATGTCATTTGCAAGTATCTTCTCCCATTTAGTATGTTGCCTTTTAGTTTTGTTGATTGTTTCCTTTACTGTGCAGAACTTTTTTATTTTGATGTAGTCCCAATAGTTTACTTTTGATTTTTTTTCCCTTGCCTCAGGAGACATTATCTAGTAAAATGTTGCTGTGGCCAATGTCAGAGAAATTACTACCTGTGCTCTCTTTTAGGATTTTTGTGGTTTCAGGTCTCACATTTTGGTCTTTGATCCATTTTGGTTTATTTTTGTGTATGGTGAAAGAAAGTGCCCCAGTTTTGTTCTTTTGCATGTGGCTGTCCAATTTTCCCAACATCATTTGTTGAAGGAACTGTCTTTTAACTATTAGATGACTCTTTCCTCCTTTGTCAAAGATTAATTGGCCAT